ACGTAGGCCAAACGGGCCACTCTCATCAACACGTCTCCGGACGTAGGCCAAACGGGCCACACTCATCGACACGTCTCCGGACGTAGGCCAAATGGGCCACACTTATCGACACATCTTCGGATGTAGGACAAACATGCCACAACCTAAGGAAAAACTTCCTTCAGGATATGCAGAACATGCCCGGAGTCCCTCAAGGGGGACCCTGGCACTTATCAAGTTTCCTAAAGGAAAACATCTTACGGGATGCGCAGAACACGTCCGGAGTCCCTCAAGGGGGACCTTGGCCCTCGCTAATTTCCTAAGGAAAAACATCTTACGGGATGCGCAGAACACGCCAGGATTCCCTTAAGGGGGACCCTGGCCCTCGCCAATTTCCTAAGGGAAAACATCTTACGGGATGCTCAGAACACGCCAGGAGTCCCTTAAGGGGGACCTTGACCCTCGCTAATTTCCTAAGGGAAAACATCCTACGGGATATGCAGACCACGTCCGGAGTCCCTTAAGGGGGACCCTGGCAATCATAAATCTCCAAAAGAAGATGCGCAATCAAAATACAGGCTGGTTACTCAAGCAGTCCACAAGTCAATATGCCAATTGAAGTTGAAAAATTAACTGAAATTTCCATAGCAAGCTGACCAACTTGCCAAGTTCAACAAAAGAAAGATGGTCGAATAAGACCAATTATTCTAAACAAGAAAGCAGACTACAAGGTGAAAAGAAATAAAGGAGTCTTCATTTACTCTGAGACGCGAGCAGGAGATCCCTGATCTACAACCTCTTCGGCATCCACTTGATCAGCCGCGTTCTCAGCAGCTCCACCTGCTTGATCCGCGACGTCTGCCACTACCTCATCTGCTGCATCCTCCTCTGCTTCATCCTCTTTAGCTACCGCCTTTTCGGCTGCCTGCTTTTCAGCTCCTGCCATGTTCACAGCATTAACCTGCTCACTTTGCACATGGAGCAACAGAGCATCTCAATGTCTCCATCTCTAATGCAGACTTGTTATAGGCGCCAAACCTAGCAAGAAGCTTGTCATAACCAAATGAGACGTCAG